GCCAATAGATAGCCAGGATCCCATCCTTGGCAAGGCCAGGGGTCACCTCTCATGCTCTGTACATATCATTATCAGAACAGCTCATTAGCATCAATCTGTTATTAGGGATATTAATTCTGCCACCACCACTAATAACACAGATTTAGAACAAGACAAATACACTCTGAAGAACCTCCTGCCAGACGCTGTGCAGCACAAGGCACAGGGAAGTGGTTTTCTGCTGGGACTTCTCAAACCTGGGAGGGAAAGGCACAGTGGAAAGGTCCTCTCAATCAGGGCTCTCTCTGTTTGACAGACCTGGAAACTGAGGCCCCCTCAGGGGAAAGGATTGTCCCTTGTTATCAAGTTGCTTCTTCCAGGCAGTCTTGCCTTTGAGAAGCAGCAGGCTCGGAGGGTGCCTTTCTGAACCCTTCCAAGTCCTTGCCTCCAGCCTCTCTCTTTCTCTCCTGACCTCCCCAGATCCTCCTGGCCTTGGCACCACCATCCCAAAGAGATTTTTCCCCAAACGTCTCCCACCTTGTGAACATTTTGAATGTTCATGGGAAGGCCCAGTGAGCCAGAGTCTAAGGCCACATGGTCTGTGGGGTCCATCGCGGACCCCAGGAACTCCATCCAGGGAGAGATCCACTCACTGTAAATGCTGCTGTGGTCACCTGGGCTCTGTAGGAGGAGGGGACTGCAGAGTCTTCTAATTAAGTTTTCTGATCACAATGGTGTGTGTGTGTGTGTTTGTGTGTGTGTGTGCGCAAGTGCATACATGTGTATGTTGGTGTCCAGAGTGGTTACAGTTTGTCAGTGGTTTCAGGTGGGGTGCCCCTGAATGTGCCTAGAGGGTGCACGAGGACAAGGCTTAAAGTCCAATGACCACAAACTCTCCCATGAGATTAGGGTGGAGGTTGGCATCCAGCTTCCCAGTGGGCTCTTGATTGCACAGGGTGAGGATCTTGAGGCATGCCCAGCTCCTGGAGCTTCCAGAGTCACTGCGAGCGCACAAGTTCCCTTTTCTCTGTGACTCACTGCAGGCTTTAGGTCTAGTTCCCTGAGAGCTCCCGATTCAGCTAATTCTCTCTCGGGCCCCATTAATCTAGGCTGACTAAGCAAGAACCACAGGTGGAGCAGAGACTGGGGGATGCTTGTGACAGTGGCTGTCATTCCTTGCTTCAGCCTCTGTCCGTCCCCTGCCTGGGTCTGGCCATGCCTGATCAGATTAGTCATGTTCGCAGCCCTCTCAGAAGGGGTGCCACCATCTCCTTTTGGGGCCCTCTGAGCATGTTTCCCTCTCTTGTCACACACTCAAAGTAGAGTCTGTCTGGACAGCAAATATCAACTTGGCTTGTTGCATCTGAACCCTTTTTTGGGGGGTGAGGGGTACTGGGATTAAACCTAGGGCCTCATGCATGCTGAGCATGTACTCTATCACCGAACTGCACCCCCAGCTAAAATCATTTTTACTATTTGGCCAGCATCCAGCCTTGAAGGCCCGAATAGGATCAGGAAGCTGAAAGCTTCCTGAGCGATGATCTCACACAATCTGTTGTTCCAGGTTGTTCTGTGTGCTTTGCATCCATACTCAGAGGATTTGGAGGATGTAGCCACACTCCTGGCAGAGGAGCTAAGGAAGGATGCTGGATTCCCAAGGGATCTGTGGCCTAAAGGGAGACCTGGGAAGGTGGGGATGGTGTGGATGAGAAGCTGTGGCTAAGAAGAGGGTGGGGCTGAGGTGAGGTGGGGGGGGGAGGCTGGGGCTGTAGAGATAGAGGTAAGGTTGGGGATGGAGACAAGGAGGAGGAAAGGAAAGGAACTGAGCTGGGATTGAAATGAGCGTAGTGCTCTTGTAACCCCACATAATCAGGGAGCTGGGGCAAGAGGATTGTCTGAGCCCAGGAGTCTGAGACCAACATGGGCCACATAATGAGACCTTGGTTCTAAAGAAAACAAACGAAAAACAAATCAGGCAGTGAAATTACTGGAGATGTAGATCTTAGCACTTAGCTGTGAATGAGGCCCTTGTTTCAGTCCCCAACACACAAAGTGGGCAAGGGACTAAGGTTGGGAAGAGAAAAGCAACGGATGAGGGGATGAGGTGGGAGGGTCAGGAAGGAGGTTGGGGGTGAGGTAAGAGGTGGCACAGAGATGGCAGAAGGGGCATGGGAGGGGATGCATGTACTGGAAAGACCCAACTTATTCAGGCATCATTTGATTGGTGCTTCTGTGATGCACCCTCCCACAGGCCATCGGCCCTTCCTCTACTCTCAGGCACATTGCCAGCCCAACCCCAAGCATCCCAGATCAGTGGCTGTCTCTCCACTCAGGAAACCACCTCCTGGGATCACAGTCCCTGCAAATTCAGTTTAAAATGCTGAAGCGTTTCCCGGAAGTCTCAGTCTCTCCTGCCGAGGAAGCCGAACGGGCCATAGCAAGATAGTGGCAGACTTCTGTCCTCTCCATCCCTCTGCTATGGGGAGGGAGGGGTCCTGAGTAGAGATGGCCCCCAATCTCCCAGTACAATAGAAAATGACAGACGGCAGCAGGTACAAGGTCTCTCCACAAGCCCTGAAGACATTTCAACATGATTTAAGAACACTTGCTGGCTAGGAGCATGGACTTAGTGCAGGCAATGGGGGTTCTGCTAGTCCATGAAGATCAGGCTCAGCTCAAACCAGAGGGCAGTGGGAGTTAGACTCAGGAAGGGCTCCTGGCTGTGAAGGATGGAGAGCCCAAGGGCAATGGCATTAGAGAGCAGATGGGACTTTCCATGGTGGCTAAGAAAGGCTTTCCTAGAGGCAAAGGATGGCATATGACAGAGGCCATTTGCTAATGATGGGCTTTTCAGTTGGGCATAGTGGTGCACACCTGTAATCCCAGCACCAGGGAGGCTGAGGAAAGAGGATCGTCACAAGTTCAAGACCAGTGTGGGTTACAGAGTGAGTGCAAAGCCTGCTTGAATTGCATAGCGAAAACTTGTCTTAAAAAGACAAAAACACAAAACAAACAAAACAAAACAAATGGGCCTTTCCCTTTGTCTTTGAGTTTCCCCAACTTTTTTTTTTTTTCTCATGATGAAAGATGAAAGCTTGGTTGGAGGAAATAAAGGGTCAGTGTGTGGATGAGACAAAGATGGAGTGCAAGAATGAGGTTGCAGGTCCCCAATCTTTCTCTTGCTTTGCCAGGACCCACTGATCTAGAGCATTCTAGGGCTCCCTGAGCCCCTGGGAAATACAGTCCTCTGAGAACTCCCTGGCATTCCCGGGAGAACAGGTTCCTGGCTCTGGAGGTGAGCGAGGCGCCGGGCCTGGGGGTGCAGCGTGCCTCAGCAGGCCCTGGAGCTGGGAGCTGAGCTCGGCAGAGGCTGCACGGGCGGGGCTGGGCAGGGATCTGGGAGGACATGTGCCTCTCCCAGTGTCACCTTCGCCCCTGAGGATCCCAACCTGTGGCAGGACCTGGCCCAGGACCCAGTCCAGCTCTGTTCCTACCTGGCCCACCATAGGCTGTACACAGGCAGGCGAGCAAAAGAAAGGGCCTGGGGAAGGAGGCGTGGCCCACCCTCCATCAGTCAGGGATGCCCCTCAAGTCTTTTCTTCCTGTCCTGCTCTGCAGGTCTGGGAATGACCAAGATGGTAGAAGGATTTGAGTTTGCCCATTGGGGATGGGGACAGTGTGCAGTGCACCCTCCCATCCAGCTGTCTGATCAGCCCAGAGGCACTGGGGTTCATCAGTAGGGAAAAGTGAAGGATGGGGGCAGGTAGATCAGGACCCAATGGCACTGGAGACTTCAGAGAGACCCCAGAGACTACCAGGGAGCTGACCAGACTTCCTTCTGTGGGGCATAGGGAGACTAGGATGAGCAGCCCTGTCTGGTGTGGGAAATGAATGGCCCAGACATGGGGGGTGGTGGGTGGGAGTGGGGGGTAAGGGGTGGGGATGGTGGGGAGGTGGGTTGATTGGGGTGAGTTCTCAAGAGGAGGACCCCTGTCCTCCAGGTCCTTTCCCACTGACCAGCTGTGCTTTGCCACTACATACATCCAAGTCTATTCCCCCCCCCACACACACCTGTAGGTGCAGAGACAGAGGCAAACACGCCCACTTAATAGTCTATTCTTAATCCAGCAAGATTCTTGGGACATTTAGGGAGGGCCTGGGGGGACTCCGAGGGGAATGCCAGAACCTAACCTGGTCAGGTAGGGACAGGGAGAGCTGCAGGAGCTGGAGGGGGCTTCTTGCTGCTCAAGCTGTTGCCCTTAGAGTTTTTACTTCCCAGACCACCATCCCCCACCCGGTTCTAGGCATCAGAGGTCTAAGAGCTCACTGATCATCCCAGGTCTGCTGCTTGCCAGGCTTCTTTACCTCCGAGGTCATAAGGACAAGAAATGTCTCCTTGGGGGGACTTGGAGGGACTCTGTAAAGTTCAGCATCAGCTCCTGGCCACAGCACCTGTCTTGCCACCTGTCTGCCTCTCCACCAGATGCACTGTCTCTGTTCTGCAACCCAGACTCCCCCAAGGGTTCCAGGCACCTAGAGCCCAGCCCGGGCTGCCCAGAGAGTTTGAGAGGTTCCTTGATCTATGCATGCTGGGCTCTCCTCTTTCACCGTTTCTGGAATAGCCACACAGCTAGGAAGCTGCCTGCTCATTTCTCTGTTTTCCAGTTTTGGCGCTTCTTGAGTTGTCCTGCTATCCCAGCACAAGGTGGACGAGTACACTTACGAGCACACAGGGATAGCACAAGCCTCCAAGCCAGCCTAGAACGAAGATCCACGCTGCAGCAAGCAGGCTTGGAGTTGGACAACCTGGACAGCAACGAGAGGAGGAGCAAGGAGGAGGGTCCCCCTCCGCTCCAGCACTCACCCTGATCCCGAGTCTCCCTTGAGCTGCAGCGAGAAGCTGGGGAGCATCCAGATGCTCCTGTTTCTGCTGAGGCCCATTAAAAAGGCAAGCCCCCTCCCCACGCCCTGGCCCGGCCCTGCTGGCCTCCACGGCTGACTTGGGCCGGGTCTCCTCTTACCTGCTCAGTGAAGCAGGTCGGCGTGGGGGCCCAGGTCTAGGGAGCCAGGAGCTCCGTCCGTCTGTCAGTCCGTCAGCTGGGCCTTCCTGGGTCTGTGCTGACATCAGGTGAGGGGAGGCAGCTGCTGAGTGAGCCAATAATTATGATATCAGCTTCCCCTTGCCCTGAGGGGCTGCTGCCAAAACGGGGAGAAGAGAAAGGTGACTAAGAAGCTAGTTTGCTCCTTGGCTCTTGTTTGACAGGTACCGGCTCTTGTGCCCGCCCCAGCCGCGCCCTGGCCCCCCCCACCCCTCCCTTCTCCCAAACTAGCCTGGACCCCCTCCTCTTGCCAGCAGGCACAGCCTGTGGCTTGCGGAGAAGGGGGTGTCCCTTGGTCCCTACCTGCACCCAAAAGGGGGGATGTCAGCCCCCCCATGGGTGGGGCACAGGCCTGTTGGGGCATGCACGAGTGTGTCAGGAGAGCCGGGCTGCCACATATGTGTTCATGGAGCTGGTAAGCGGTTCTAGGGAAGTGTGTGGTGGCGGCTCATGGGTCTGAGGCGTGCAGTGGGTGGCAGCACTGTGATCTCTCAAGGGCCAAGCACCCTACAGAGTTTCTGGGACCTGCCTACAGGGTCTGCCTTCTGCCCACGATCCACAGTCTCTCTGATACCTTACCTGGGGGCGTGTGCACCTACAAGCTACCTATGAGACACTCCCTTTTACATCTGTGGTACGTGAGTCTCTGGGTTAGAGCATGTCTGAGTCCCTGTCCTCTCTATGGATCTGGGTCCCTTGTATGTCACCTGTATGTAAACCGTGTGTCTGTGTGCATGTCTCTGCTGTGGGTCAGCAGCTCTGTCGGGACCCCACAAACATCCCTCATGCTCAGAAAGATGAAAACAGAAATCTGTGGGGCTATGGCCCTGGTCTCTGGTCTGAGAAGGTTAGGATTTGACCACCTCTGATCCCACTGGGACCTGTCCCTGGCTCCTTGCAGTCCTTGCTGTGACCTCAGACTCGTGCTCACCTCCTTCTAGTTACTTAGCATCTGCCTGCCCCGCCTCTGCCTCCTGGCCCCAGTTATCCCCTCCCCCCAATTTCCTCCCCTTGCCTGGACTCTAAGCCCAATGCAGCTGAGCCCAATTGCATCTGGCACGAGTGGTAAAACCGCCACCCAGTGAGGCCTGCAGGTGTGGGCACTCGGCTCCTCTCCAATTACGCTCATTCCAAGGGCAGAGGTAATGCCAACCTGTGCCGGCTAGGGTCGGTGGTCATCCACACAAGGACGGAATAGACTAAACAATTTGGTGGCTCTTAGTCTCAGCAAAGAATGTTTAACGGTCAACAGAAAAAGGGTACTGGGGTGCCATTCTTATCTAAGAATACCCATTTGTAAGAGATGGTCTGGCTTCTCCCTCTGAGCCTCAGTTTCCTCATTTGTTAATAATGGAATATTACCCATTGGATTAGTGCAAAGATTAAACAAATTTATATAATTACAATTCTTAGTCCCATCCCTGGTATAGTGTATACACTCAGTAGATGTATACTCTCTTCACCAAACCCTGGGTGCTGGGTGGGAAATAAGGATACAGGAACAGATTCGTGAGTATAAGGATTTTTCTAACTGGGCGTGGTGGTGCACACCTGTAGTCCCTGCACTTAGGGGAGAGAGAGAGAGAGGCAGGAGGATCGCCATACGTTCAAGGCCAGTTTGGGCTACACAGGCCAACCTGAAACTGAATGAGACCCTATTTTTTAAAAAATTGTTTTTCCCTGAGGTTAGGTCACAGGACCTGGTTCAGTCTGTCTTTTTTTCTGGGACTCGTGCCAGTAATCAAAACCCCGCTCCCTTAAGCCTAATAATGGTACGCCACGGTGAAAGGGCAGGTACTGAGATTGTGTACCATGGTATTTACTAATTGCTCCTATCTGATATATTCAAGGCTGATTGTTATTTCTAGACCCATGTATATTTCTATATGGATGCTCTGATCATAGAGAACCAGGAAAGGTATAACTTCAAGTCTTCCATCATTGTTGTTAATTGATATTGTTCTGAAGATCCTACCCAGGGAAGTATGTCTACCAACAGATGAAAGGAAAAGAAAATGTGTTATTTATATGTAGTGGAGTATTATTCTGCCATAAAGATAAACTTTGAGTCATTAGTAGGAAAATGGATGCACCTTGAGACCATGTTAAGTGAAATAAATCAGACACACAAGCTTAAATATTGCATGGTTTCTCAATTTAGCTGTCTGTGGTTGTGCATGTTTTTAATATCAGTACTTAAGAGGCTGAGGCAGGAGGTTCTCTGTGAGCTTGAGGCTAGCCTAGTGACATAGTGAGTAGATCAGCCTGAACTACAAGGAGAGAGAGAGAGAGAGAGAGAGAGAGAGAGAATCTTCAAACAATTACAAATGAACCTGGAGTGGTACACACCTATAATATTGGCACTCTGGGAGACTAAAACAGGAAAATTGCAAATTCCAACCCAATCTGGGCAATTTAACCAGGTAGTGATGCTCTGTCTCAAAATGAAAAATTAAAAAATTCCAGAAATGTACCTAGTACGAAGGACCTAAATTCAATCCCCAAGATTGAAAAAAAAAATAAGAAAGAAAAAAGAATTACAAGTGATGCAATTACTTATTTAGAAACTTCTAGAGAATAAACTGAAGGATGATTTAGAATTAATGAGAAGCTGCAGAAAATATGTGAAGTGTATAAAATTCAAAACCATTGTTTTCTTGAGACAGTCTTGTTATGCAGCCCAGGTTGGCCTCAGACTTACAGAGAATCTCCTGCCCCAGTCTCCAGAATGCTGGGATTACAGGTGTGCACACCACGTTCAGTTCCAAACTACTTCTATACAACTAAAACAGCCAATTAGAAAATAGAGGAAACACATGCAATTGCGACATTACAATACACACAGAAGACCAGGAGTTTAGCTCAGTGGTGTAAGTGCCTGCTTGGCAAACATGAGGTCATGAGTTTGATACCCGGCACCAAAGAAAAAAAATTTTTTTTTGTCTTTTTTTTTTTATCGGTACCGGGGATTGAACTTACCACCACACACTTGCAAGGCAGGCACTTAAGCCGCTGAGCTAAATCCCCAGCCCCCCCCCCAATTTTTTTTTAAATACACGCATAAATATTGGAAAAGAAACACAAAATTCACATTTAAAAAATAGAAGTTTACTGACAGACATAAAATAACACTTGCATAAACATAAAAGTGCATAATGTTCCTTAAGTGGGAAGCCGAGTATATGTAAAGATATCGACTCTCTTCAAAATAATTCATGAGCACAATATAATTCAAATACCATATCTAATGGTTTTTCTCCCTCAGAACTCTACAAGTGGATTCTAAAGTTTGGGGGAACAGTAAGTATATGTATATCATCTAAGACTTTTTGGAAAAGAAGACAAGTAGGAATTTACCCTGCTAATCTCCAAATGTCCAGCAAAGCATGCATAATTAAAACAGTGCAATTTGGGTATAGAAACAAATAAAAAAATTAATAATTGGTATAGAGTAAACTTGAACATTTGCAAGAACTGGGCATATGACAATAAAGTGTTTGAAAAATGCAAAGAAAATGTGAAAAGTTCAGTAGATGAATAGTGAAGCATTCAATGGAATTGGCATACTGGACTTTCCGTTTCAAAGAAATACAGTGAAATCCTACTTCATGTTATACGTTAAAAAAATCCTAATGCACTAAAGATCTAAAGCAAAATTGAAAACCATACAAATACTTAGGAAAAAAGGGACTATTTTAATTAAATTCTAGAGTGGAGAAGACATTTTCAGGGTGTCATCAAACCCAGAAGCCATATAGAACAGCTTGACTAAGTAAAAAGTCAAAATTTATTTATTTATTTATTTGTTTTTTTCGTTATCAGTACCAGGGATCGAACTCACGACTGCCTGCTTGCAAGGCAGGCGCTTTTGCCGCTGAGCTAAATCCCCAGCCCCAAGTCAAAACTTATTAATAGCAAAGTATCGCTAAAAGCCAAAAACAAAAACAAAAACACCACTGGGAAGAAAATGCTACAACACAGAGAGCAGACAAAGGGTTAATACTGGCACTCTATAAAGAACTTTTGTAAATAAATGGGAAAATGACCTTGCAGAAAAGATTAAAAATAAGCAATCCACAGCCAAAGTAAAAAATGGCCAAAACAAAACAAACAAGTGCAAAGATCTTAAACTTTGTTCAAAATTAAGAAAATACAGATGAATTCAGGGGTCCTGTGCCCTGGCACGGTGGAATGCACAGAGAAACCATGGCTGTGTCTTTCCGCAGGGAGCTCTGCTTATAATGAGAGAGGAAATTCTTTCTCTTCCGAAACAAGCTTTACCTCTGCCCCAGGAATGGGTGTGTGTTTTGGCTCCTTCTTTTCTTTGGGAAGCATAACTTCCTCATTTGCTGGAGTTGGAGCAAGAGCCTTGGGAATTCCAGAGTTTGAACCAAAAGGATTTGGGAAGTCTTTCTCCTCTTCTGTGTCTCTGGCTAGGACCATCCTCTCCTTCCCTTGTTGCATCAGCCCCTCGGGGTTCTCTCCTAGCTGAGAAATTCTGTCCTAGCATCTGGCTCAAGTTTAGCTTCTGCAGTGCTGGCTCTTCGGGAAGAACTTCCATTCGCAGGTCTTTCCCCCCATTCCCGGACTCTTTTCAGACGTGCAGATGGAGCTGAGCTGGGATCAAGTCTGAATGGACTATAGCTGGATGTTTAAACAGGCTGGCGCCAGGGAAGGAGCAAGACTCTGGGGGTCCTAGAGGAGGAATCTGCTCCCACCCCCGGAACCCCGGTGTGATGGAGGAAGGGCGGCCTCCCACGCATTCCACATCAAGATGGGCCATCTCTATTCCCTGGTGCTCGTGGAGGCTGGACTATCTACCAAAATGAGTTCTCAGGGTTTAGTCTGCCTCTCCCAGGTCCTCTAGTCTCACTCCATGAGCCTGGAGACACTTAATGTCCACAGAAGCCAGCTGCAGTGGCGCACACCTGTAATCTCAGTACTCAGAGGCTGGGGCAAGAGGAGTGCAAGTTGAAGGCCAGCCTGGGTTATGTAGTAAGTTCAAGGGCAGCCTGGAGTATATAGTGAGACTGTTTCAAAATAAAAAACACCAAAACTCCCCAAAAGAACATCTACAGAGAGAGGCTGGGGGTAGTGTTCAGTGGTGAATGAGGTGATTATTATGCTCCAGCTCTGGGTTCAATCCTCAGCAACCCCTGCCCCCCAAAAAAGAAACATCTGCAGAGGAACAAGACCCCACAACAAAGGAAGGTTGGAGGGATCTGGGTCAATCAGGGTGTGCTCCCGGGGTCAGCAGGCAGCTTGGCTGTGGGTCATAGAGAAGCTCCATGTTATAGGGTGTGTGGTAGGGACCCGAGATAGGAGGTCTGTGCCTGTTCTGGTTGGGTGACCCCCTGGGAAGTTTAGGGAGTTTCCAAGCTTGGTGCTGGAGGGCCTGAGGGGGGAACTCAGAGTCCTGGTAGGTGGGGAGGGGTTCTGTCCTCTGATCTTAATCCCTTCTGCTGAAGGAGGCAGGTTGCAGGTTGTGGAGGTTGGAAGAAGCAAGCAAGTGTGTGTTTGTGTGTGTGTTTTCACTAAGGTCAGTATCTGTGTATAGTACAGTGTCAATGTACTCTGTGTGAGTGTGCAGGCATTGACATTTCTACTCTCACACTCATAAGCCACCGTGGTGTACAGTAAACTGTGGAGGGATCGTGTACTGCTAGATGTGTCCATGCCAGCATATGTGTGGATGTGTACATGAGCATCTGTATACCTGTGAGAACACTCAAGTCAGGCTTTGTGTGCCGAAGTACTGAGTGGTTGTAGGCGTACACGTGTCTGTGACTCTGTCTGTCTATATGGGTTTTTGTGAGGGATTCTGAGAATCTGAAAGGATTCAAGAGCTGGTAACTTGGTGCAGAGGAGACTCAGGTGTGAGACTGCGTGCACAGGTGTGCATGCCTGTACAGGTGTCGGTGGATTCTTTTGTACCTAGGCATGCATGGTTCCGTGTATGCATGGCTAGGGGTCTCCTCAGCCTTAATAGCACCTCCTCTGTGTCCTTTTCATGATTCTTGTGCTCTTTTTTTTTGGTTATGAGGAATTGAACTCAGGACCTGGTGTTTCCCAAGCAGGTGCTGTGCCACTGAGCCCTCATGATCTTCCTGATCAGCCTTCTCCATCCCTTTTCTTTTCTTGACCTCTGTGCCACAGACCTTCAGGCCTTGCAGAATGGGGGGTTACCCTTTTGAGGTCTTCAGCCTCCCTGCTCCTTGGTACTATGGGTATGGTGGTGCACACCTGTAATCCTAATTACTCAGGACTCTGAGGCAGAATTGAAAGTTCGAGGCCAGCCTGGACCACTCAGTGGCACAAAATAGCAAGTAAGAAGGGTTTGGGGTATAGATCGGGGTAGAGCACTCTTGGGTTTGAACCCCAAACTACCTCCACACTAAATAAATAAGAAAAAAGGGAATAAGTAAATATCTCTGTGGTTCTGAAGATCTTGATTAATGGGGGAATGGGGGCCAAGCTGTGGGTGCCCAGGTCACAGCTGGTCCTCCACCGGAGCTGGTCCCCCCCAGAGCTCCACCTGTCCCAGTCCTGTTCCCCCTGCCCGCACTGTGCCCTTTGGCTGTACCACTACCCTTCCTTCTCCAGGAAGCTGCCTCCCCTCAGAGACGTCGGGGAGACTGAGAACTTACGGTTCAAGGACTCTAACCCTAGAACTGCCCTGTGACCTGGGATGCAGGTCAAGGTGACCCAGAGCGTAGGGTTGACAGCCCTGCTCCCATCTCCCTAGATGCTTACTTCTTCCACTCTACAGGTTTCTCCTGCTTGGGTTTGATGGCTACTTCCTCGTGCTTTGAGTTGCCATGCCTCCCTCCGGGCCTGGCAGGAGGACGTTGGAAACAGGGAAGCCCCAGGACCTTTGGGGACAGGGGCAGGGGAAAACAGTAAGAGCTGACCCAGAAAACGGGGCTTATCTTCTGGTTCTGAAGTGACCGTGGCCCCCAGGATCCAAGATGCTGTTTCAAGGCACAGAGCTCTCTGCACACAGCAGTCTGGACAGGGGCTTTGAGGGCGCCTGTTCAGCCTTCCTCCAGGAGCCAAAAGCTTCTTGGTGTATCCAACGAATTCCTTCATCTGTGCACTGTTCTCTGTACCAGGCCCCTCGTAGGAACCGGGGATGCGGCTTCTGGTTGTTTCCAGCCTCGCCGATTTCCTTCTCCCTCTGTCCCCAAGGCCCTGGGAACTCACTACCTTAGAAGTTCTTGAGTTCCAGCACTGACAAGTTCAGCAGGTAGGAGACACTCAGAGCCCCTGGTTAGATTCAGGAAACCATTTGTGATGGGGAGCAGGTACTCAAGAGAGAAGTCAAAGACGCTAATTCCAACAAATCCTTATCCACCTGCTGTAGCTGGCATGTGTGCACACAAGGGCCTGAGCTACTAGGTTGCCCGTACATGCCTGACCCAGGCCAACAGGCCTTTCCTTCAAAGGCTGGCCCAGTCCATGTACTTTATTGCCCAGCTAATGATGGTGATTAGGCTGACAGGTGCCGCCTGCCACCTGGCCACACTCCTGCCTACTAAGCAGGGTGCTTTCTGAGCATTTGGGGGAGGCTTGATCCCTGAGTCCTGTGAGGGCTCCTGCCACCTAGCTGGCCGCTAGACCCTCGGCTGGCTTTTGTATACCTTCCTCCAAGCACTTGGGGCAAGCTTGCATAGCACCTAGGTTGCTATGGAACTGAGAGTAGTGGATGGGGCATGTGCACCCCAAGAAAACTTTTCCCCAGCCAAAGATGGGCTATGTGTACTTATGCAGGGTCCAGGACAAAGAGTGGCAGAGTAACAGAGCACCTTATGGGGGATGGGGGTCTCTGCTGCTTTGGGGACCCACTGCATTGTGGGTAAGCCACTGGGGAGCCCCACCATTCTGGGGCTGGCCACACCCAGTTGGGGGACTGTTGCCTGGGGCCTGGAGGGTCCTAGTGTGGGTCTGGATGGGAGCCCTGATTTACAGTGTGCTTCATGCACCAGGAATGCCAGCCTGGGGGCCAGGGTGGGGGTGGAACCACTTGCCTGACACTCCTCACTCTCCTGGATGTCTGGCATGTCCTGTCAGGATCCCCTGTCCCCTGGGGACAACAGTGTTCTCCCCTGTGCAGTAGCCCCCTCCTGGCTGCACTCCCCATGAACCTCCAGCTATGGGAAAATGGAGTAAAAGCCCAGGCCAGGGGGAAACCCAAAGTAAATCCTTTTTGATTTTTTCTTTTTTTGTTGCACTGTGACAGAGACTTAGGATAGACACAGAGATGGACTTCCAGCCAGGAAGGGATGCTGAACTTTCAGAAGGGATGAGGGGTGGTGTCACCCCCAGATGAAGATTCTGGAGTCTATGAGGATGTGGAAAAGGCAGAGGAAGGGCAAGGAAAGGAGGCAGAATCATCCTCAATTGTCTGCTTTTGACTCTGAAGGCCGTAATAGTTTTGAATCTGGCCTGCATCTGTTTTGCTGTAGCTGGCATTGGCGTGAGGGTCCATCTCTCTGGGCACCTGGCATGGGTCGGCCTGCCTCCCCTGGGCTGGTGGGACTGGTTTTTCCAGCTGGAGGAAGGGTCGGTGAGGAGTTGGCAGAGAGAGAGGGTTTTATGTAAATGCCCAGGGAGTGCTCTGGGAACGGGGGAGGCCGGTTTTCCAGAGACACGCAGAGACTGGCAGCTCCCAATTAGCCAGTGGGTGATGTCAGTGCTGCTTTCTTGGGTGGCTGCGCCCACTCTGATCGGCCCTGGCAGGGGTGCCCTACCATTACCTTCGCCTGGGGTTGGGAGGGGTGCCAAGGGAGCTGTCATGGAGGACAGAGCCAGGCCCCTTCCTGTACCCTCTAACCTGGGCCAGAACCACGTGGCGTCACCATGAAAGACCATCTCAGACTCTACTGAAAAACGCTTTAATGTGGCTGACATCTGAACCCTTCCCAAACCCTGGGGAGGCTGGGCTGGAGTCCCAGAGGCTGGGCCCATGGCAGGCTTGCTTCCAGGGCCACTCTAACCCCAAGTTTCAATAAATATGTGCAAAAGAGTCTGGTTCCCAAGCTGGGAAGACAAGGAAGGACATGTGTGTTTTCTGAAGATGCACATGTACACTGTCATGCCTGCACACGAAGTCCCACAGGATGCTCTCGTTTGTACACATGCATGTACACACAAATGCAGACACACTCATTTTCCTCTGACACTCTGGAGAGGGTGCACATGCCTTCTCATGGACATGTATGAGATTGTACACACACGGACCTTCCTCCTGGCTCTTGGCCCTGGGCTTGGGGCTTGGAGTGTCTCCTCTTGGCTCAGAGGAGCAGGATGCAGGTGGGCTTGGCCAGGCTGCACCCCAGCCTAGGGGCTGGGTATGGTGGAATTGGTATGTCCAGGGAGGCAGTGGGTGAAGTTTGACTGGGCCCAGGACGGAAAGGTGTGCAGGTTGAATATGGGGATGCTCCAGCTGTTAATGGCCAGCATGATGACCAGCACCCCGATGATGTTGAGCAGGAATCCAGCCTGGGCCTGAGATGAGGAGGGTTAGTTTGACTAAGCAGGCATTGAACAGTGCCAGTGCCCATCCTGAAGGCATCTGGGAGGGCTGAGGAGCTCGCCCATGAGCTAACCTCTCCCCAGCAAGTCCTGCCTTTGGTCTAACCTGCAGTGCTAGGCAATGCCCTTACCCCTTGCTTTACTGCCAGTCCTAAGGGAAAAGGGGGCCTCATGAGCTTCTGGGGTCCAGGTATTGTTCTCTAAGTTCATCTCTCTGAGCACGGGTGCCTGACCCTGGACCTTCATGCCCTCCTCCTCTCTTGTGGCCAGCACTGTAAGGCTTGACAATCTTCCAATGGAGGGATCACATCCCAGTCCCCTTTCTGTACCCTCAGCCAGAGTCCTCCTCTGACCTCTGAGTATTTTAGAGGCTTTCAGCTACTTTGTGGTTTGCAGAGATGGAAGACAAGCAGGCAGGTAGGCAGGAGGGGAGAGGTGTCTGTGTTCCCTGCTACTCACCATATCGGTCACTTTGAAATCCCCGAAGGAGAAGACCAAGGCATTTGGCGGGGTGGCCACAGGCAGCATGAAGGCCAGGGAGGAGGCCAAGGTGCAAGGGAGCATGACGTAGAGCGGATGGATGCAGATGGACTGGGCCTGTGGGGCGGGGGGCAGTGGGACAGAGCTGATCGTGGCCCCCATGCTGGGGAGTGAGACATGGTCCCCAGTTTTTGCTTTTCTGGGTGACAACTCCATCCCCCAACATGCTCTCTGGTCATGAACCCACCATTTCTGCCAGAAAGCATTGCGTGACCTGGGAAGGGCCCCTTGACCTCTCCGGAAGGGATGAGTGTGCAGCCCTGCCCTGTGGGGCACGGTAAGGGGAGGGGCCCATAAAATGGATCTCAAAGGGGCTCTGAGGTATCATCAAAGGCTGTGGGGAACGCGCCTGGGGAGGAAGGGGCTGGGGACGCTCTGGGGAGCAATTTTACCTCGTCACCTCTGGAATGACCAGGACAGGGACTGGGGTGGGGAGGTGGGTGAGGCCACCACTGAGCCCCGTCGGGATACCCAGAGAGTGATGTCACAAGAGATGGGGTGAGTCAAGGGCTAGAGGTCCTTGAGGCCCAATAGCACGAGACTGGGAGAAGGGTGGACATTCAGGAGCCTCTCCAGGAGAGGGGGGAGGTGCAATGGCAGGTCCCTGTGGGGACCTCTGGAGGGAGAAGGCAGGAAGACTGCCTGGAGGAGGTGTGTCCACAGGGCCAGCTCACCATGGAGGCCAGGATGGGCAGGAAGAGGGTGGTGGTGGCCACGTTGCTAATGCCCTCGGTGAAGGCGGCAGTCAGGAGACAGACAATGATGGCAATGGCAGGAGGTGGCACGTGGTGCAGTGGAGACAGTTTGTCCCCCACCCAGTCCGACAGGCCGGATCTCTGTGGGCACAGGAGCAGGATGTGTGTGAGGCAGGGCTCCCTGGACTCCAAGCCCTCTGCTGCCCATATGTGTTAGTCTTCAGAGTCGAGGCAGCTCTGAAGGGAAGACTGGATTCAGATAGAATCATGGCCCTTCTGCTGCTCTTGGGGCAGCTGGAGAAGGGGGAAGGGTCTGGTGAGAAGCTAGGAGAAGGATCCAAGGGCCTTCTTGGGGGGGCCTGGGGCTTTGTGGAAGTAAGAACTTTGATCTCTAGCTGCATCTTTCTGACCCCTCTCAGAAGTTCTCTGGGCAACCATAGCCCTCTGTCTGTCTTCTCCCAACCCAATGGGTTGGAACTCCTGGCAGGGAGGCCGCATGAAGTGAAGACCCTTCAGATGGAAGAGGTCAGTGGTCTGGTGGGCAACAGGTAGCATTGAGGTCTTGCCCTGCTCACATCTGTAAAACATCTGTAAGCCTGGCTGCTAGGATTGCACCGGTGTGCAGGGAGCTAAGGCTTCCCCTCGTTCCTTGCTGCTGGCCCCAGGCATGGTGTCCGGCAGTGAGGGAATAAAGACCCTGCACCATCCCTGACCTGGACAGCTGGCTCCTCCTGCTGCACAGTGAGTGCGCTCAGCCAGAACTGGAGGCCCAGGGCTACAGGTTCAAGAATTTGTTTCTCTTTTGGATGGAGTCTCTAGAGAAAGATGGCCTGGTCCCAAGAACCTGGAGGGGGTGTGATCATGGCGCCCCCTAGTGGCTTTCAGCAGGACTGTGCCAACCAACGCCAGCTCCGTAGAGGTGTCATAGTGAACGCAGTGTCTGTCAGGTTTGGTTGAGGGGCTGTAGAGGGAGCTCACCCTCTAGAGAAACCTGCCTTCTCTTTGGCATCTAGAACCCCACTGGGCACAGGTCCTGAGGGCTCATATCTTTCTCCTTTTTGGCTGGGGCTGTCACCTACTTCCCTTCAGCTTCTGCAGAGGTTCTGCCCAGTGTGGTGGCCTCCTGTTAGTGAGGATCGTGCTTCCCCTGTGTGGGACAGAAACAGGGCCCCTCTAGCCTGCCATGAGCTCCCTTCCAACAGGCCTGGGAGGAGCCGGGAGTCTCTCACCTCACTACCTTTGGCCAGGGCAAAGCCACCCCCCAGCATCATCAGGATGTTCCAGGGCATCTTCTCGTTGGCTGTCTTCCAGTTGAGGAGGGCAGGAGGGGCCTTCAGCCTTCCTGGGTTTTCTACTCCCCAAGCAGAGAAGAACAGGTTACTAAAGAGTCACAGGCCTTCCCCACTCCCCTCTACTGAACCTCTCTGAGTGGGTCCCTAATCAGAGCTCTCTGAATGTCGCTCTAAACACCCCGACTTTGTTCCTGTATTCCTGTACCCTTAGACAAGTCACCCTAACCTCTCTTGGCTTTGTTAACTCCTGCCAAGAGTGGCCAAATGTCTGTCACATGCCTGAAGGCAAAGGCTACCTGGAAAACATTCCTGGGTCCAGGCCAGGTGCTTACCTGGGTCCTGGGTCAGGCCTGGGAACTCAGATGGCACAATGAATAGAATTACACCGATGAAGATCGCCACGGTTCCGTCAGATGCCATGCTGTGGGTAGGATAGGGAGGGCAGGCTTAGTGGCTCAGGGATACTCAGAGTGGAGGTTTGGTAGAGAAGAACTCTTCTCCTAGACAAGCCTGGTTCGATCCCCTCGCCTGCAGAATCACCCTCGGTTCTTCAGCAGAGGCTCTGATCCCTTCTTGCCTCCTGTGGGATTGAGCCCCAAGTGTGTTCCCTTCCCTCCCCCCAGAAACTCTCACCTTTCCCCCTCGCTGTTGGCAAAAGCCAGATTACCCCAGCCAGGGAAGAAGCCTGGCTCTCTGGTGAACCAGAGAACCACCAGGCTGACAAAGAGGACAGTGACAGCCTTTTCAGCAAAGCTCATGGGGCCCAGAAGCTTGTGTTGCGTGTAGATGACTTGAAAGGCTGCCTGCTTTTTCTCCTTGCCCTGATCTCCAAAGCCAAAGTTCTTCTTGAAGCTGTGGGCAGAGAGCAAGGGTAGCTCATGAGTGACCTGCCCCAGACAGGGAGCGAGATGTTCTGAGGACCCACATGTAATGCCTGGGAAGAACAAATAATGACTATAGTGTAGTACCACTCATACAATTACTGCTGGTCTGTGTACCCAGCAGACATCACTAATCAATCACAGACTTGATTAAAACAGCCTTAGCAGTATGTCCAGTGATTTTCAACTGAGAACTACAATCAGTGACTATGAGAAACCCAGGGTTGCAAGTAAAATACTAAAACCCACTTGCTACCCTTGGCCTCAACTCATTTTTATTTAACTTTTTCTCCCAGGCAGAGTCTTGCTACGTAGTTTACGCTGGGCTTGAACTTACTATGGTACTGGGAATTGAACTCAGGACCTGGTGCTTACCAGGCAGGTGCTGTGCCACTGAGCTATATCCCCAGCCTTGAACTCATTATGTAGCCCAGGTGATTCTCTTGCTTCTGCTGTCCATAATGCTGGGATTACAAGCATGCACATCATTCTCAGCTTTCCCTTGATGCCTCTTGAGCTACAAGCCCTGATACTCTTTTATGATGTGTCTGTTTCATCACCACAGAACCAGAGATGCTCCCAAACACATCAGGATTTTTCTTGTGGGTGAGTCTCTTTTCTTTTTTTCTTCCTTCTTTCCTTTCTTTCTAAACTTTTGTTTTCGTTTTTGTTTTGAGACGCATTTCACTAAATTGCCCAGTCTGGCCTTGAACATGGGATCCTCCTGTCTCAGCCTCCCATGCCCAGTGCCTCTGCTTTGCAGTTGTTTTTTGCTGCCTGGGATGCCTTTGCCCCATTCTCTACCTGGACGACTTGTGGTCCTACAAGAGTCAGATCAGACATTACCTCCTTTAGGAGCCTTCCTGAATCCCCACTACCCTGAGTGCTCCCCAGGATCTCCCAACCCGTATCATCCATCAGATGGGGAACTGCAGAGACTCTGTGCAATGCCTTTCAGTAATCTTACTGCCCAAATACAGCAGGCCAGACTTGCCGTAGGAGCAGAACAAATGCTCCTATAACTGACCACACTCAGTGCTATCCTCAAGCATTTATTCAGGGACTTTGGAGCATTAGGGGACAGGGTCGGACCCGGGTATCTGAAAACCTGGTTTTCAGTCTCAGCATTGACAAATCTGAGTTGTGACCACTCAAGACTCAGTGTGTTCATCTGCTAAATGGGGTAATATTTTCCTCCAGTAATTCCTTCAAAGGAGCACACAAGGAGCCTTGGGAAGCAGAAGCCTTCTCATTGGCATGGTCTCTTCCCTCATCTAAGCACAACAGGAAGCCCCAGGAGTATGGGCTAGGGCCTGAGCTTCTCGTATCCATCCCATTACTTACTTGAAACCCAAGAAGAGAATCTGTAGCCATATCCAACACAGCAGCAGCAAGATGACCATGGTGGGGAAGGCGAAGCCAAACCAGGAGGCAAAGTTCACGATGTTAGGGTTCTGGGGGAAGATCCTGAAGGGGACACGAGCTGCTGTGTGGCATTGCCCCAGTCCCTGCCCCACTTGCCTCCCAGTGGGAGTGCATCCCTCCACTGCTGAGCACTGCTCTCTGTCACTCACGAATTCATCTGGCCTTGCAGCACCAGGTTGGGCGTGGTGCCGGTCAGTGTGGCAGTGCCCCCGATGCTGGCCGAGTAGGCGACGCACAGGGTCAGGCCCTGGGTGAAGCGGATCTCCTCCTTGAGCCTCTTGGTACTTGGCTCTGAAGGAGCAGTTTCGACCTGTCCATTTTCTGGGAACAAGGGAAAGCTCAGGCGGGGGCAGGCACAACGACAGCTCCGGGGAGTTTGGCTGGGCCTCCATGGCCTCCATGGCACCTTGTTGGTGGACAGCCTAGAGCCAGGCTGGGAGGAGCACAGGGGCCAGCTCCGAGTCTGAGCGGTGCCTCAGGTTGGGAGCACCGTCAGATACTGTCTGGCCCAGCCGCTTTTGAAAGATGGGAAACCAAGGCCCAGAGAAGGGAAGAAAGAATGGGAAGAAAGGCAGAAAGAATGGAGACTGGACTCCTTGCTACCCACCCAAATTCCAGCTCTCTGCCTGTTGGAGTGACCAAGTCTCTTGGGCTGTGGAATTCCCAGAGCATGAGTCTTAGTATTTAAAAATTAAATAAATAAATAAGTAAATTCACTTGTCTATGGTCCTGTGGATCAAACCTAGGGCCTTGTCCATGCTAAGCAAGTGTTCTACCACTGAGCTACACTCCCAGCCCAGGAGTCTTGGTATTTTAAAGCAAGAAAAGTTGCGGGCAATCTGGAACAAGTTGATCCCTGAGGCTCTTGTCTGACTCTCCTTTCTCCAAGTTCCCAAGATCATCACCCGTGGGGATGGAGTCTCTCAGACCTTCCATAAGAACTGAGGGATCGGGCAGGATCTACCTCTTCTGTCTTACCAAGCTTGGTCACCTCCTTCTGGGGACAGGGTTCCTGGAGCTCAAAGGTGGGGTTGTCATTGTCTCCTCTGATGTCCTTTTGTGTATTGTGCAGCTGCTCCAGGACTGCACGCGCAATGGGCACCATCATGGCTGAGGTGGCCGTGTTGCTGATCCACATGGACAGGAAGGCCGTGACCACCATGAAGCCCAGCATCAGCCTAGTGATGGGCAGATGCACACAGTCATACCAGCTTCCCTTCAGGGACCCCGCTCCTTCCCTCCTGGTTGGTGAAAACTCACAGGGCGGGGCGCACTCCAATGAGGAGGAGTGCCCGGAGGGCGATGCGTTTGTGCAGGTTCCAGTGCTCCACAGAAGCGGCCACCATCAACCCCCCCATTGTCAAGACATTGGTGTCCCTGAGGTACTCAAGGCAGACCTGCCAGGGGAAACATGATGGAGATGCAGGAAGGTCTTGGGGTCTCCCACAGTGCCCTGGGGTGTATGAGGTGCAGCCCTGACCTCTCCCCACAGTAACACTCCCCTGGGCTCTCAGATGGAAATGGCCTTTGGATTATTAGCCTATTGATATTAACAGGGTCCCCTTTACTTGTCAAACTCACGCTTTCTTTCCTCGGGATAATTGGGGAAAAACCTAGCCTGATTCATTCATGTTTCAAGCCTTGGACTGGGAGATAGAGAGACAGAGCATTCCCTGCTCTTTTGAGAAAGAAGAGCCGGTGTGGTGGTGCACGCCGGTACATCCCAGCACTCTGGAGGCTGATGCAGGAGGAGTGCCACGAGTTGGAGGACAGCCTGAACTATACGGTGAGACTGTCTCAAAAAACAAAGAGCAAACGAACAAAAAGGAGAGCAGTGTATAAGAGTGAGCGATCCTTGGGCAGGGTCCTTAGCATTACTGGAACTTGTCAGGAATGAAATGCTTAAACCCCACCCCAGATCTACTGAATCAGAAGCGAAGGGATGGGACTGAACCAGAAGCGCAGTCTGCAGCCAGCCCTCTGTGTCTGTGCATATAGCCAAACTTGATGGAAAATATCTGAAGAAAAATCTTGTTTATACTAAGAATGCACACTTTCTCCCCACCATTTTCCCTAAACAGTACTATATAGCAACTAGTCACACTGGATTAGGCATTGCCAGCAATCTAGAAGCAATTTAAATATAATAAGGATAGGCATAGGCATAGGTCATATGCAGTACTGTGATACTTTATCCAAGGGACTCGAGCGTCCTGGGATTTTGGAATCAGCCAGTGAGCCAGAACTAATCCCTTGTGATATCCAGGAAAGATGCTATAAATGCTTCAGCTGGACTTTTCTTTTTTCTCTTCTGTTCTCTTCTCCTCTCTTCTTCTCTTTCTTCTTTTTTGCATGTGGTACTGGAGGCCTTTGCACTGAGTTCTATCTCTAGCCATTTTTTATTTTTAATTTTGGATCAAGGTCTGGCTAAGTTGCTAAATTCCCCCAGCTGGGCTTGAATTTGCAACCCTCCTGTCTCAGCTTCCAGTGTTGGGATTATAGGCGTGTACTACCATGTCTGGCTTCAGCTGATTGTTGGGGCTCTTCTCCTGCACTTCCCTGGTAAGGCTAACCAAACTTCTTTGGATGTGCCACATGCATTTCTAGACTTCTCTCCCCCTGCTCTTCTAACTGACTCCTTCCTCAGTGCTCTCTGAGCTGTTAGCAGAGGCAGGGACCCCTCTTCTATGAACCCTGCCTATGATGAAGCATTCTCTGTCACCAGGGCCCTAGGGAAGATTCCACCCCCAGCCCTGGAGTCTTTCCTTCCGTGCATGTGAGGACTCACCTCAGAGGCTTCCATGATGTCCATCAGAGGGAACATGAAGAGCGGAAAGAAGGCAGTGACAGCCAGGGGCAGAGCCTCAGTACACCAGAAGAGGGCCATGAGGATGAGGGTGTAGGCACAGTAGGCTTCCTATGGGCGAAGGGGAGTAGAAGGCTTATTAGAGGGACAGACCTGGGTCCCTCCTGCTCCACAGAGAAACCAGGCCATTTGTCACAGTGTGGGGAGGACCTGTGAAACCCATGGATTCCCAAGCCTGAGGTCACATTTTAAAATGCTGGCGGGGGTAGGGGTACATCCTATCTTTTGTTTTATCTTTAGGGGCCCAGACATTATAATCCAGCCACACCAGTGGCTCTGAGGCCTCATCCAGCCCAAGGAGGCTGCAGGGCGCCCAGGTGAGGATCCTGAGATGAGAGTGGCCAAATGAAAGAGTGGGCCCACTGGACACCCTGGCCTTCCCTAGCTTTTACCACTGTGTGCAAGAATGTGTTTATTTGTGTGACTATTTAGTATTTGTTTCCTCTACTAGGAGATAAGTTCAGTGAGGACAGAGTCAGTTTTGTGACATCTAGATCCTTAGAGCCCAGGACCCAGGAGGTTCAGAGCACATCTTGTCTGAATGAATACATCACAGGCAGGTCTTGGGAGTGCTGGCCCAGGGATTCCTTTCTAGCAATGCTGGCCTGGCTGCTGCATGACACCAAGGCTCCATTCACATCTCCTGGCTATGTGAAAGGTTCCCCCATCCCTGTGTTACACAAGGAAGAGGGGGAGCAACCCGAGGGATCACCTTGGGTACCAGAAAGCACGCTTTTCCTCACAAGGTCTTTGAGTCCAGAGGAGCCTGACCTCAGGCCCTCATGAGGGAAGGAGGGATGCCAGACAGTCAGGCGCCAGATGTCGGGGGCCTATCCTCCTCAGCTCCTCTCTGAGGACTGAGGAATCATTAGCCAGAGACCTCTGGGAGAGGGGGCACCTGCCCACTCTGTTTGCCTAAAGAAAGGCCAGCAGGCAGGGATTAGTTGCACTGGGTGGTGGCCCCTTCTTCTCTGGCCTGTCTCAGTTGTACTGCCCTCTCCTCTCCACCTAGTACACCCTAGCCTCTTAGCACCTCACAGTCTCAGTGCCCTGGAGCTTGAAAAGAGTCTCCTGGGGTGGGCAGAGGTGGTGGCCTTGGGGAAGAGGAAGCTGCTGTTTAATGAGCAACTCTTAGGAGCAACTCTTGCTTGGGGTTGAATTCTTAACAGCCATTAAGGTGGGTGTGATGGTCTTACTTTATGGATAAGCTCAGAGGGTAAGTGACTTGCTCAAGGTCGCAAGACTAGGGAGGGGCAGAGTTGGGATGGAAACTCAGGTAGGTTTCTGTGTTGCGCAACTCCAAGGTGCTTCCCGAGATTGCTATGGACGGTAAGGTGCCCCTGGAGCTGTGCAGGGTGAACCCCATACAACGGCACAGAGCTTGCTGTTGGACCAAGACTCGCTGACAGCAAGCTCTCTTTCTGCTACCCCCCGCCACTCACCCTGGACTTGAACTCATCAGCTCCGGGATGGGGCCTCCTTGACCCTCGATCAGCAATCCACCCCTCTCCTCCCCCAGTAGGATTCTGCTGATGCCGGCGTTCCTTCACCCACTTCCTTGCCTGTAGCAACTTGATGACCAGTTATTTGACCTCCCCTTGAGCTAAGGGCAGGTCACTCCCCTAGGCCCTAGAGTCCCCTATTCCCTCACCCAGAACTCTCTGGTCAGACGCAAAAGGGGGGCGGCGCGGGGGAACAGTCACTGTGCTGATTCACGAAGAAACTTCTGGCTGGGCTTGAAGTTTACCCATAATTCCAGCACTTGGGAGACTGAGGCCAGAGGATCACCACAAACAGGTGTAACTTTTGGGCTGGCATCCTATGAAGGAGGGATTACAGGCATGTGCCGTGCATCTGGCTCAATATTTGATTGAGGTTATCAAATATTGGATACCTGCCCAGATCAGTGGTTATTGTTATGTTGGAATACATCTCAATATACTGTTTATACTTATTAATATTTCACAGTTATGGTAGTCATTATACAAATGCTAGATCTTTCATTTTTCTTTTCTTTTTTTCCTTTAGTGCTGGGAATAGAACTCAGGGCCCTGCACCTACAAGACAGATTCCCCACTGAGCTACATTTCTAACCCAGTACTAACCCCTTCTAACGCACTGATAAGGACACATATATACCCGAATTGCAGTATATTTTTCTGCATTTCAATAACCATGTCAGAATAACTGATTTCCACTGTAATTCTATCCATTTTATTTTGTGCATTTCAAAGCAGTATTCTGAGAAGGACAGAAACCAAGATATCAAGAGGCCTAGCATTGCCTCGTTGGCGTTCATCGAGGCCGCATGGCCGTCAGTGTTCAGAGGTGCAACCTGGGTTAGGTGCCAGCCCCATGGGCACCCGTGAAGGGGACAGCACTGAGGATCCTTTCTCCTCAGCCCCTTAATATGTCTGAATACAGGCTGAGTAACCGTGCTCTGGAAGTAGGATTCAGGGGCCAGGACTGTGTTTCCAGGCCACCTTTGTTTTCTCTCTTACATCTCAGCTCAGTAGAACTCAGTCTGGCCAAGGCCAGCTGGTCACCGATGGCATAGGAACTAACTAGCTTGCACACGGGCCACTGGCAGCTCCCCAGAACTGCCACAATGCATAATCCCAAGGGCACCATTTATATTTAGTTATATAAGGTAGAGCCTGGACATCTATTTGCAGCGGATCTATTCAGGTTCTTATTTTTTTGTTTCTAACACAGGGTCTCATTATGTAGTTCAGGCTAACCTTGAGCTCACTATGTAGTCCAGGCTGGCCTCAAACTCACAGGGGTCTCCCTCCCTCAGCCTCCCAAAATGCTGGGATTCCAGGTGTGCCCTACAATACACCCCAGCTGGAGTGGCCCTATCCGGAGCTCGGAAAATAGCAGGGAAGCTTTCTTTCTCCCAGCAACTAGTTCTCTTCCCTGTACCCATCCCTGCCTCCTCCTCTGCCAGGCTGGGCAGTAGTTCTTTTCAGCTCTATTCCTTGGTTGTAGCATTGCGGAGTTGACTCTTCTTTCAGTATCTGTTTTACTGTTGTTTTTGGTGCTGGGGAATCAAAGGATTGTTCATGCTAAACAAGTGCTCCACCACTGACTGTATCCCAGTCCTGTGTACTTCAGGCCTTACACTCTGCACCTGGCTGTCTCTGCTGCAGCCACTCTGGTCCTCTTCCAGTTCCTGCAATATTCTGTCCTCCCACTGGCCAAGGGACCTTTGAGAATAATGTCCTCTCTCTGGATTTCCTTCCCTTCCCATCTTGATTAGCTGATAGCTATTCATTCTGGATATCTCAGCTAAACTCTTCCTTTTCTGGGCAGCCTCCCTGGCCTCCTGGCTGGGGCAGAATCTGCATTTCGTACACTGAGCTCTTGGCTCCGATTCTGCACAGCACTCCCTGCATTTCACAATGAAGATTTTGTGTGATGAATGACATAATGAGATTATTCACTCTGGGGAACAGACTCATCCCAGCCTGGCACCTTTACTGAAACCGTAAACCTCTCCCTAAGCCTAATCCTGCCCCTACCCCTGCCCTTAACCCTAACCCTACTCCTACCCTACCCTACCCCTAAACCTACCCCTACTGCTACCCCTAACCCTGAGTGAATGTGTGAATGATACAGGCCCTAGGGTGACAGGCCTGAGTAAGGCCCAGCTCTGCATCCAGGGCTCTGAGTGTCTGTGGGGCAGCAGGGCCGGGCAGGGTGGGCTGCCCTACAGAGTTAGCATGAGCAAAGGAGATAAAGCCTCAGAGAAGTTTCTGACCCCACCAGCTTGCTTCTTTTGCAGTGGAAAATTGCACGTCTTGATACCTAGGCCCAACTTTATTGTTTTCCTTGGGAAAGTTCATTAACTTTTCTTTGATTTTTTTCCCCCTAGGAACATTGAGAATTTCCTGCTGTACTCACATGTATCTCTTTAAGCAGTTTGTTTATCTCCAAGTGGGAATAAGAGAAAGACTAGCGTGGCTGGGCTTGTATAAGGAGGAAAGAGCTATCTGATGTGAGGATGTGCAAATATGCTATAAAGCACTGCACCCAGCAGGGCTGGTGCTGGGAGAGAACTGTGCTCCTGGCATGTTTGGAACTGGGGCAGAGGTGTGAGGCAGAAACGGAATAGAGATGTCAGGGAACGCAGGGCAGACTCTGGCTCCTGAGTGAGAGGCAGGTATGGGGGAGGATGAGGCTGTCAGACTGGATCCTGGGTGCTGCCAGTCTCAGAGCCGCACAGTCCTCCTGGTGACTGAAGGTTGACACCGAGTGGGGACGAACTGGCACCTCATGCCCCGCTGCCCCTGGAAGGAGGATGCTGGAGGCAATGAGCACTCTCGGGGCTCAGAAACAAGGGTGGGACACTAAGTGGCAGCTTGGCACGTACTAGTGCAAAAGAGAGAGTGGAAAAGTAGAAGCCCAGAGGGGAAAGGCCCCTTCCCTGAGCCTCCTGCCGTCTAGACTGAGCGAGGCTTCCAGAGAGGGAATGCTGACAGGGCGCTGAAGGCTGAGTAGCTCAACTGCTGAGCAGAATGGATTGGGTGAGAAGAGAACTCACAGAGGAGACAGTGAGGCACGAAACACCAAGACACGTTCAAGACTTGCAAAGTGCTGGGGGTTTAGCTCAGGGGTAAGTGCCTGCTTGGCAAACACGAGGTCATTGAGTTCAATCCCTGGCACACACATGCAAAAAAAAAAAAGCAAAAAGGGCTTGGAAAGCATCTTGTCCTCCCTGAGAGGGCTCTGGACTTTATCCACAGGTAGGAGTGAGAGTAGGAGGACTCTGAAGGGTTTTAAACTGTGAAGGTGTTTTGTTAAAATATTACATCGGGTGCCAGGTGTAGAGGTATATACCTGTAATCCCAGAACTCTGGGAGGCTGAGGCGGGAGAATTGCAACTTCTAACCCAGCTTGGGAAATTTAGAAATTTAGCAGGACCTTGTCTAAAAGTTGCTTTAATGGGGTCAAGGATGTATGTATGAAGTGTGAAGCCCTGGGTGTGATCCTCAGCACTGGGAGGAAGAGAGAGAGAGAGAAAGAGAGAGAGAGAGAGAGAGAGAGAG